AATTATTCGTTCACCAAATAATAATTTAATTTCCATTTATAAGATTTCGCACAGTTAAAGTACGAATTTTATAAACTACACCAAACTCTATACACCAATTTACATTCGAAATTCCCAAAGTCACATTTTGGTTTAATCCTTACCCACTTATATCGATCACCTTACAAGGGTTAACAATTCTGGCGCTAATAGGCAAACGTATTATCCCATCCAAAGTTTCCACAACATAATATTTCAAGCTATATTATGAACACACAACTATATTGGCAGTAAACCATTCACGTCTCTGCATCCCTTGGTTTATTATGTACCAATTAAATATACCATTATTTTCTTTTCTGATATCCATAGTAGATATGTTGTATAAATATATTCCAGGTCAAACATAATATATATTTGTCTATAAAAATATTATTGCATTAATTGCGGGTAGTGTGCAACAGTAATTTAAACTAGTAAGGAAAGTAGTAAAGTTACACTAAATCGGTCGAAACCATATATAGGAGCTATATCTAAATCTGAACCGATTTTCAGTAAACTTAACACACATCATTCTAGGCCTAATTCATTACGCTGTGCCAAATCTCGTGCAAATCGAAAGATATATAGGGACTTTGGTGCACCATTTACCTAAAGTCGAGCGAAACCATATAAGGGGAGCTATATCTAAATCTGAACCGAAATTTAGCAGACATCATTCTAGACTTAATTCAGTACGACATGCCAAATTTCGTGAAAATCGAATGATATATAGGGACTTTGGTGCACCATTTACCTTAAATCGGACGAAACTATATATGGGAGCTATATCTAAATCTGAACCGATTTTTTCGAAACTGGGCGCACATCATTCTGGACCTAATTCATTACTCTGTGACAAATTTCGTGAAAATCGAAAGATAGAGAGGGACTTTGGTGCCCCATTTACCTTAAATCGGACGAAACTATATATGGGAGCTATATCTAAATCTGAACCGATTTTCTCGAAACTTAGCACACATCATTCATGCAAATCGAAAGATATATAGGGACTTTGGTGCACCATTTACCTCAAATCGGACGAAATTATATATGGTAGCTATATCTAAATCTGAACCGATTTTCTCGAAACTTGGCATACATCATTCTGGACCTAATTCAGTACTCTGTGTCAAATTTCGTTCAAATCGAAAGATATAGAGGGCCTTTGTGCACCATTTACCTTAAATCGGACGAAACTATATAGGAGAGCTATATCTAAATATGAACCGATTTTCTCGAAATTAAGCACACATCATTCATGCAAATCGAATGATATATACGGACTTTGGTGCACCATTTACCTCAAATCAGACGAAACTATGTATGGTAGTTATATATAATTCTGAACCGATTTTCTCGAAACTTGGCACACATCATTCTGGACCTAATTCAGTACTCTGTGTCAAATTTCACAAATTTGAACAGAATAACATTTGTTATTTATGTTTAATTTACATTGGACTTTCAGCTTCCTATTTTTCTGAAATTTAACTTTGAAACTTGGCACACATAAATTCTGGACCTATATACTCTGTACATTTCGTGCAAATCTTAATATATATTAGTCTATATTATTGCATTATATTAAGAAATGTGGAACAATATATATTAAAACCAATTTCTATGGGATTGCCTATGCCAAATAAATTTGCCAAATTTTATCCAAATCGAATATAAATGCGATCAATGTTTTGTTTACAATTTAACATCTACAGACCCATTTGCGGTATTTGTGTCTATCTCATTTCCTTTTGCCTGTTACAACAAAGACATAATACCCAGTACCACAGTGTGGTGAAGGGTATAAAAACAGGTTTTGGATTGCCTGTGATAAATTTCTGTTTATTTCAATGAATATAAACATGTATGGGTCAATGCTTTGGAATAGTCTCCATTTAAGGGTACCGACCCATTTGCGGTATTTTGAAGGACCTAGCTTCATTATCCAGCCGAAGCAGCTTTAACTTCTCATATTAAGTTCTCAGAGGGTAGAACACAACCTTCTTAATATTGGCCCATATCTTGAACTAGTACCCATGAAAAGGTCCCGCTTATTATAGTGGTTTAGATTATAGGCCCAGAGTTTTTTATATAAAAATTATTTCCGGCTTAAAAAAATAAATAAAAATTAAAATAAAGTTCAATATTTTAAAATTTTTCTTGCAGTGTATTGATAATTGTTTATATGTTAGGCGAGTGGGTTTAAAACAGATAGCCATATATCACAAAATTGTTGAACTTGCTGTAGTAAAATATGGCCAAAACAACTACTAAAAAATATGAAAACTTTACAGTCGCCCAGTCAAAAGAGAAAATAAAAACAAAACAAAAGCTTTGCCCACTTACCGAGTAAATAACAACAACAACATCAATAGCAGAATATCAATAAGTTGCTACGGAATTGTTGTGGGAGGCATCTAGAATAGATCCAAGATCACTGTCAGCGTTTTTACGACACTCGCGATTCAAGTGAAATGACTATTCAGGGGAGCGAGCACACACGTCAACAACAACATCACTAGCAATTCTCCAAAGCAGAATTTTGACCACAGTCGAGAAAGCTGCGACAGCACCGACCGCAGCCGCTGCAAAAGATAAAATATAGAATGAATATACATATGTATAAAAATATAAACAAAAACTCTTTTGCTATTTTGAAATATAAAACAAGTGTAGAAGAGTCTGAAAATTATTGTAGAGCGCGGTCGAATCCTATTTACCTTATAATAAATGTTCTGACATACATTGAAACTCTTCTCATTTATCCTCCAGCAATTGGTGAAGTGTACATTAAATGTTTCATCGAATATCCAATTTACTGGATAGTATATACATATTTTTGATCACAATACAATTTGATTCAGATTTAGCGATATAGATAGTATTATTTAAGACAGAGTCTTTAAATTGCTACTACTTGCAAATGGGATATATTTGACCCATATTTTGTATTTTGAAGCTTTAAGCGAATTTTTTCAAATTTGTGAACAAGGGAGAGGTACAATATGAGAGCATAGTCATATTCTCTGAGAAGTGGTTTCATTCTATGTCGATTTGAGATGATTGACCTATATAGCATGATGGACCTATAATTAAACTAAGTCTATATACTTATCATAAATATTAGGGTCTGTCATGTTTAGACTACACAGAATTTTCTTTTCGCTTTATATAGAATAGACTAGATTTTCTGACATGCTCAAGGTTTGGTAAAAGTTTTAGGATTTAAAATGTTTGCATCAAATCGGCATTCAATTCGCTTGATATTGTATTAACAAATTTTCAATATGTTGACCATTTGTGGGTAGGTACTAGAAGGAGTGGACCTATAATTCCCATCTTTAAACATTAAAGTGGTTTGGTTAAAATATTCAATTGTGCAACGTTTGGAAGAAATTGGTTACTATCTTCGAGGTTAACTTGCTTACTAGCCCGACGGACGGACGAATGGATGGACATCTGTAAATCGATTTCATATTGACTGTACCGGATTTCATCCAAAGAAGCATGGAGTCTAAAACCAACATCTTGAAGCACATTTTGCCCTTATTAGCCAATTAGCCCAAGGCTAAGTGTATAAAAATTTGCGAGAAATCTCATTAGTTTGCTCGATCAATATACCATCGACTCGAACACGTTGTCTGATACTGCACACTTGAGTCGGATGTTGACAAATTGAGAGGAAAAATTATGTTGTATGCCATTTTCAGATATGTCGTTTTCGATTTGGTCGTCTATGTGATTGTGTATTGTAATATTGTTCTGAACCGAACAATTTTTTGACATTACCCCGATATGTACATTGTAATTGCTTTTTCACTTCGTTAGGATTTTTGGAAGTCAAATCAAATCAAATTATTCATTCTAGGTAATAGATGTATAACATCCATGTATTCGTTTCGGGAATCAGAATTAGGACCTGCACACCAGATATATGATGTCATGACCTTAATAAGCACAGTTGGGGCCGAACCTGTAGTCAATATGACCATTCAAGGGCAAAATTCGTGCTTTTTAAAAATTATGACATCCTCAGTCAATAATTTATACATAAAGTTCTGTCCTTTATTTTATATTGTTTATAAAGACACATCGTTTATAGAGACCGATCTCGCCGGTCCATTGATCGTCGTTATAAACGATTTCGACTGTATATTGTTTTTTATTTCCAAAATAGAAAAGTATTTTGGGCCAGATTTGGCAATGTGTGAGTACGTATATTTATGTATGTATGTAAAGAATTACGTCGACGACAATTTTAGTGACGTTATTGTATTATTGATATTAGGATGTTTTCGTCACGTAAACTTATTAACGTGCCATCGCAATAGTATTCATTCAATTCCCATTTAGTTTACTTTTGTCGAATTATTTAAATTTGTCGTTTGCAATTCTGAGTCATTTACTTCTCTATATCTTTTGTCTAAATACACTCTATTGCAAATGCGCATCATGTCGAATGAGAAACCAAATGAATCGGCTAAGAAGATGTAGGTGTTCTAAACCATCAGCAGATAGAATGAAATCTTTGGATTTTAGTTTTAAATAGTGCGCGAAACGAAACAGTTTCATATTGTTGTGACATTTGAATATCCGATTCCGGTAACGAGATTATTATCAAGAAAAAAATATTTGTAATTTCTAAATAAGTAGATAATTAATTTTCAATAGCGTTTATGTGATTAACTGTGGTCATTCTAAAGTTTGCAAATTGAAATATAAAAAAGTGTAAAATGCAAAAACAACGTTAATAAAAAAAAATTCCACTTTCTCTTGCATATAAACAATTTTGAAAACTAGAAATGAATGCATATCTTACGTCATATTCTATTTATTTTTTTTGTTTATGTTTTGATCGTTTTATTTTCAGTGCCACGGTACGAATGATAAACAATTAGTGATCCGTTTTTAATTATGCTAAACTCAAAAAACACAAATAAATAAGAAATCACGAGTAACAGAGAAAGCGAAACAAATTATAAAAAAATCTCCGCCATGGGTTTCGAAACACCAACACTGAAGCATATCCTGCTGCTGCTAAATTTTATTTTTGCTGTGAGTTTTGTGAATCATCCATCGATAATCACCATCCATCGTCGTCGCTCATTCACTGCATTATTCATTAAATAAAAATATTCACTGTGGATGCATCTGAAATTTATTTTATTTGTAGAATGATAACTGAAATGTGTTGGACAGTGTTGGAATATTGGAGTTGGTTTAATAAGATGGGTAGCCTATTAAAAAAACGAATAGTTTCCCGCAATTTTTTCAAGTTGTGGTTTTTGCACTACTTTAGATGTTTTCTATGTTTAAAAAATATTAAATTAGTTAAAGCACGTAGAATAATACCAGCTGTTATTTTCCCTTAAACATTTTTAACAGAATTTTGACCATCTTGGGTTTAAATATTATATATTTATATATATTTATTATACAAAGGTATTTTTAGATGGTTGTGACCGTAAAATAGATCAATCACTTTTTTATTTAAATGGTCATAACGAACATTCTTTAAAATTCAGTTTCAAGAACTCTTCGTTAAAGTTTTGTAAAAAACCACAACTGATATTTTTATATTCATAGAATATTTTGATTATAAATTCCAATACCATATATAGTAATTGTGAGCTACCAAATTTGGAAAGAAGACATTTTAACAGCATTCCGTGATATGACATAAATTATCTTGAGATTTTGAAGCACGATTTTGGGTGTTTTTGATTTTCTTCCAGTTTCAATGACATGTCACGAATTTCCAAACCTTTAAATATATGATTATTATATATTTTGTGTAAGTAATATGCACAGCTTCACAGTACTATTTATTCAAAGGTAAACATTTGTGCCATCAATTTTATAAAAAAAAAAACATATTTTTCCAGTCAGATTTTTATATCTTTTACCACACTGTGCTACAGGGTACAAGGCATTTGTGCATATGTTTGTAACAAGCGAAAGGTAACGAGAGACAATATTTTTTAACATAGCTGAAGCAGAGGTTCACACCTTTCTAACTCGGGAATTACTTAAATATATGAAAAGAAGTGAATAGTTTTGGGTTAATTGATCTGTCTTTTTCTCGATCTGTCAACTGAATTACATGGGTACCAGCGATCTGTAAGGTTTCGAATGAAAATCCATCTACTAGAACGGCAGGAACTGGCCTTCCAAAAACCCGAAATTTGGCAAGAAATATTTTAGAAATATAGCGGGGTTAATTGAATTTTCTGAGGATTATTTAAAATATACAAATATACATAACTTTAAAAACTTCAGCCGAAGGAGAGATGTACCCAATTTATCTCCAAAATGTTGTGAGCTGGGTCATCCATGGCTCTTAATGGACCACATTGAAATAGGTATAGATTGATGTATTTTTTTTTTTTGGGTGTACACCGAAATCGGATGCGCGTTAAAAGCATAATGATTTTTCGGTTTTACGAGGTTCTGGGTACTTCAAAGCAACATGTAGTACATCTTAGCAGTCAAATGATTTTGAGGATTGCGCGATTTAGGGGCAATTTAAAATGTATGTATCAAAATATAATTTTTTTTAAGAATTATTCCTATTTATAGAACCCCAAAATTTATCGGAAGTGTCTTGCTATAATCCGCAAGGTGAATTCTTATAGTACGTTTAAATTTAAACGGATTTCGTTAACCCAGTGGGATTTCGTTAACCCGTAAAAAGGGAATTTTGAATTTTTGTAAATTTTTCGGTGAAATTTGGATATAAAAAAACAATAACCCTAACATTTTTTCCGAATTTTCTTGTATAAAATTGAAAGATAAATAAATATGATGACAATTTTTCTTCGAACCAAAAACAAATAATTTTCCTCAATATCTTGTTTTGTTGTCGCTGTAATTTACAAACCGCTACACAGTCTTGTGTGATTTTGATATCATTTGATTCATCACGATGTTTAGATTATGTAGATATTTTTATACCCTCCACCTTAGGGTAGAGGGTATATTAATTTTGTCATTCCATCATTCATATTCATTTCCGACCCTCCAAAGTATATATATATATATTCTTTATAAGGATGAAATTCTAAGAGAATCTAGCCATGCCCGTCCGTCTGTTCTAATCACGTTATCTTCTTACGGGTTCTTGAACGCGTTTTTCAACCAAATTCGCTGAAAATTGGTACGTTTGGGTTCTTTTTGGGTACCAAATGTCTGCACTACAAATTATAAATACGGGGCACTTTTTCTGGTAGCCCCTATATACCTCCAATTTGTGGTATTTTGGGGGGTTTAAGCGCGTTTCTAAACCGAATTCGCTGAAATTTGATACAATGGGTTATTAATGGGTACCAAATTTCTTCACTAAAAATTTTAAATATAGGCCAATTTTTTCGGGTAGCAATTATATAAGACACCCACAATTTTGGGGTTCTTGATTTCAACCGAATTCGCTGTAATTTGGTATTTTGTAGTCGCATATGGTAACAAATCTTCCTACCAAAAATTATTAATATTCGCCTTTTTAGGGGTAGCTCCCATATAATCCCCTCCTTATATTAAAATAGTTTATTGATTAGTTCCGTGTGTAGGGGTATTCTACCATATTACAGGGTATAGTCGTTACTCGAAATAGTCAGTTTTACCCTACAAATTATGGAATTCTAAAAATTGGAATTCGGTTGTAATCATTCCGCTTTCTAAGGAAATCGTGATAAAAAACTTAAAATTGACGACAAGCATCTCCCCTATATAATTATACCTCGTGAAGGAAAGGAAAAATTGGCATATGTCGGTCACTAATTAGGCATAGCCATCATATGTAGAATTATCGGTATAGGTTCACTTATTGGTATGTCACCTATATATTCATTTCAATTATCTGCCAGTTCGGCCCGGCCGAACTTAACGCTTTTTCACTTGTTTAAATTAATTTTTAGGTGGATACATGCCATTCATATAATGCAAATAATGACGTAATCTCCTATTTATACCCTTCACCATTGTGTAGTACAGGGTATTATGTCTTTGTACATATGTTTGTAACAGACAAAAGGAAACGAGATAGACACATGGTTTCTTTTGAGAATATGCATAGAATCACTTTCTGAGTCGATTTATGCATGTCCGTCCCTCCGTCTATATGCCGATGTTAAATAGTAAACAAAGTACAGGTCGCATTTATAATCCGAATTGGATGAAATTCAGCCCAAGGACAAACCCTATTGAAATTGGGAAAAATCGGTTCAGATTTAGATATAGCTCTCATACATATTTTCGTCCGATTTAATGTAAATGGTGCTCCAAAGCCCCTATATATCTTTCGATTTGCACGAAATTTGGTACAGCGTAATCAATTAGGTCTAGAATGATGTGTGTCAAATTTCCTGAAAATCGGTTCAGATTTGGATATAGCTCCCATATATATTTTCGTCCGATTTAAGGTAAATGGTGTACCAAAGTCCTTATATATCATTCGATTTGCACGAAATTTAGCATAGCGTACTGAATTAGGTCTAGAATGATGTGTGTTAAGTTCCGTGAAAATCGGTTCAGATTTGGATATAGCTCCCATATATATTTTCGTCCGATTTAAGGTAAATGGTGTACCAAAGTCTCTATATATACATCGATTTGCCCGAAATTTGGCATAGCGTACTGAATTAAGTCTAGAAAAATATGTGTGTTAAATTTTGTGAAAATCGGTTCAGATTTAGATATAGCTCCCATATATATTTTCGTCCGATTTTAGGTAAATAGTGCACCAAAGTCCCTTTATATGCATCAATTTGGACAAAATTTGGCTAAGCGTACTAAGTTGACTCTAAAATGATAAGTGGTGAGTTTCGGGAAAATCAGTTTAGATTTCGACATATCTCCCATATATTATTTCGTCCGATTTTATGTAAATGGTGCACCAAGGTCCCTATATATATCCTTTGATTTGCACAAAATTTGGCATAGCGTACTGAATTAAGTCTAGAAAGATGTGTGTTAATTTTCGTGAAAATCAGTTCAGATTTAGATATAGCTCCCACATATAGATTATATTTTTAACAACGCGGCGTACCGAATAGCGTGTATCAATTTTGCTATAAATCGTTTTCCAAAAATTTTCCCCATGTTACGCAGACGGCTCTAAATCTGCTCCAATGAAATTAAAGTTAGGAAAGGTTGGAGAAGATGGAACATAGACATGCAATTGTTAGGATACCCAAAGTGGTGAAGGGTATCATATAATCGGCCCAGTCCGACTTTACTACTTTCCTTACTGTTTTTTTTTTATTATTTTTTCATACGAAAAAGTTGCACATTTTCGCGATTATTGTAATATATTCACATTTTACGAAGGAAGTCATATATCAACATTTTTGGTCAATAAAATAAATATATCCTATATATTTTTTGTCCGATTTTAAGAAAATGGTGCAAAATTGCGACGTCTCACTATGGGACATGAAACCAATTTTTAGGCAAAAAGTCAATTTTAGGTAGAGGCGATAAAACGATATATATTTCAAATCTGGAGAGTTTAAGTTTTGCATGAGTAGATTTTATAACATTGTGAGTCACGGTTTACAAATGACATGAGGTCTAATTAAAAATTTCATATTTTTGTCAATATATGGTCTGTTCCAGTACTTTTTAAACAGCAAAGCCAGTAAAAGGGATACATTTCAAAATCGCTCTCAGAGTACGAAATAATTTCAAAAGTTCAGGAACGCAAATCTAGTAAATATGCCAAAATTAGATGGCAATACTTTAAAATCAACATAACAGTCAATCAGAAGTTGGCATTCCTGTTTACCATTACTACTTGGACAAATCTTTCGAGTAAAAAGTTTGACGCAATTTTGTTTTGTGTTCTCTTAAATTTGGTTCAATGTCTTACCAGTTTTGTGGGTTCAGGAATGGTTTCCGAAAGGATTGACGTAATGCTACAGCGCAACCACCGGATCTTAATCCGATAGAAAATTTGTTGGCAGATATTTTATAAAGTGGTGTATTTGCTTTGCTGGGGCAATTTTTCTGATTTCATATTGTTATGCAAAAGTAAAAATTTATGACAATTCTAACTACTGTTTAGGAAATACATCACCTGTTCAATTTGTTCTTTCATCTACCACTTATTTTCATTTTCCATCACTATATTCTCTTCTTGACAATTTAATTATTATTTTTTTAGGTTCTTGGCATAATTCTATTCGGATTTGGAATATTTGTACTGGTGAATGCATCGCAAAACAAAACGGTGGTGTATGGCGAGGAGACCACTGTGGATATCGGTGAAAATCTGGCAGGTGGATTAATTGTCGCATTGGGTGTTGCCATTATACTCATTTCCATATTTGGTTGTTTGGCGGCGATACATGAAGCAAAACGAAGACTTCTGATCGTAAGTAAGGAAACTTTAAAACAAAACGAACCCTTCACTGATATTTGCATTTAAATATTTTAAAGTTTATTGTCATATTGTGTGCCATGATTTTGATCCAATTGCTATTGTCCAGTATGGCATCTCAGGGTACGCGTGACGGATTGGCTGGATCTGTGAAAAAGGGTTTCGAAGATTTGTGGGTCGAAGAGCAAAAAGAACCTGGTGCATTGGCCTACTACGAGAAATGGGTAAAATAAATAAAACAAAATCATGGGTGGTATGGCAATTTTAAACAATTTTCTATTGTTTTTATTTCAGCTGCATTGTTGTGGTGTGAACGGTACCGCCGACTATGCTGCCATCCAACATGCTATTCCGAAAAGTTGTTGTGAAGAAGAACATTGCACCAACGCGGACAGTTACTTTACAGTGGGTTGTGAAGACCAATTCAACAAATATTTGTCTCAAAAAATGTTAACATTCAATATTGTCAATTGTCTACTTATTATGACTGAGGTAAGGCGATTTGAAATTGTGAATTCCAAATCCATTTTAATTATAATTATTTGTTTGTTTTCTTCAGATTGCAGCTGCAGTCTTCGGTTGGCTACTTTTCAGCAATTTGAAAAACGAAAGCCGTCGATCGAATTTAACATGGATATAATGAAATAGTTATTAATATTTATATATAATTAAGAATTGTTGTATTATTTTAACAAAAATATTTTTTATAACTGATAATATAGAGATCTGTAATAAATGGGATGTTGTATTATAACTCAAAATTACTGAAGAACATAGAAAATTGAAAGAGTCGTTTTGAGAATTACCTGAGATCAATTGCGTAATCATATAATCGAAATAAGTTTTTTTTTAATTCAAAATTCATGTTTAAATTAAGAATACAAACCAACCATTTGGCAACCATTTGCTACCCGAAAATTTATTCGTACTCCACGTCAATTTTACAAAGCAAACGTGCGTAAATTGTAAATTGCATTAAATGCATTTGAAATGGTTTTTTATTTTCTTCGAATTAAAAATCGAGATAAGTCCCAATACAAAAGAAAATTGGTGCTGAAAAACGTGGAACTATCCAAAAATTACGCAATGAAGGACAATCTTTGCGTGAATTTACTGACTATTGGTGGAAGTCACTCTTCTATCAATGTTCTATTGTATGTCTGTTAAAATTACTGCATTATTGTCAATTTTTTACGAAATTGAGACAGACTGATGTAAATTCTGTAGCCAGTATTTTTCCTTAACTACCAGCCCTCCAAGTTATGGGGAGGTGACTATTTTTTTCGTTGCTTTTTGATTGTAGGAGGGGTTTTCCGAGTGTAGGAAAACGCCTCAACCCATTTTTGTAGTTCTTTCGGGTGAACTCGTGGTACAAATCAGCTCACTATTTCAACGGATGATGAAAGTAGTTACCTCAGGTGACACCGCGGGAGCTCAGTGTCCACAATTGAGATGAAAGAGGGACCAAGATAAGCATCGGCTTTGTCATGTTAAAGCTAATCAGAGCCGTTGCTTGGTATCTATCATCCCGTACGTCACCCATTTTTTAGATTCTTTTAAAAAATACCAGAGAATATTTCAGCAAAAAAATTCATGAAGATACCGTGCGCAAAAATGTAAAACCATAAATTTAGAGGTACCGTTATATGGGGGGCTACGTAAAAAAATTGGACAAATATCGATATTTTAGGCGGGGAAATTTGGTACGCAATTAGAACACAACATACCAAATTACAGTCAATTTTATTGAAAAAACTTGTCCAAAATCCTCAAGACCCGCATATTTTGGGGTTACCTTTATATGTGGGCTACCCAAAAAAGTGGATAGTTGGTAATAATTTTCAACATTCTTTCAAATTTTGAGCTATTTTGCTAATATCATAGCTGCTATTCTTCCTTTATGTCATGTATCTATTCCATAAAGATCTAATCCCGAAAAATATTGGAAACACATGTCTGTCGGGGGTAAATATTCATTCAAATTAAGAATTTTTTAATGCAAATAAAGGTTGTCGTCTGTGTATAGCATTATTTAAAATCTTAAAATAGTGCAATTGTGCTTCACAAAGACGTTATAAATTAAAATTGAATTGAATGTTGACAAAATATTAATAATTTCGTTTTGAAGTCTAACAAAATTTTGTATGTATGTATAGGTTTCCAAATATGATTTCACAACAAACTATGATCACAGCAAACCTAATACTCAGCTGTCCATACTGTAAAACCTTGCATAGGTCTTGATTAAAAGTTGATTTGCAGAACAAGTGGTAAAATTACTAGTGCCTTGAAAATGCTCGTATACATTTTGTACTATTACTTTTGGTTTGTATTTTCTTCGTTTTCGTTCCATTCTAATACACATTTATTGCGGCATAAATACATCATTTTAATATGCCTTCGAAAAACAAACATTCTTTCGTCAAACTGAAAAATAATTCTACTTTAATGTTCGCCCCACAAAAATCTCTGTTGGTGAAATTTACTTGATTTTTTGGATAATAAATGTTTGTGTACGCGTGTGTGTGTGTTTGGGTGTTTTTGTTTAGTGTGTCGGTCGGTCGGTCTGTCTGACTGAGTGTATGCAAGTGTGCGTCGGAATGGTGTGAATGATATTCAACATTTCACCATTGACGTGTGATGTTGTTCTCAATTGAAAAACTACAACAAACACAAGTGCCGGAAAATTCGTGTCAATATAAAACACAGCATTTTCCCTACCAAACATGCACACTCACACACACACACACACACGAACGCCTATACTCAAATGTCAAATTTCCATGCTATATAGTTCCTATTGTTGCTCTGCTTACATTCGTGGTGATGAGAAATTGTAATTGTGGTGAATTCCGGGTGCTATGCTCGCACTCACACACACCGTTGCACAAAAAAGCATCTTTCGTCAGTGGCAGATGAGCCTGCATAAGATGCCTCTCGTAGCTTTTCACCTCAGTAACACTTGTTCCTTAAGACAAAGGTGGTCGTGGAAAATAGTCGAGCGGGTAAAACGAGCGTAGCGAACGGCATGAGGAAATTTCTTTAAAAGCGAACGAACGAGCTACCGCGTGTATAGTAGCAGTGTGCCTTCAGCATAAACAAACAAACCCGACCCAAACAAACCAGATAAGGAGGGAACAGCGAAGAGGGGCGGCGGACACACTGACTGAGAAACGGACAGACAGACTCCTCGGTATCGGCCACAGTATATGGTTTAGTGTTTATTTTCAGATTTTTCAGAAAATCTGATTCTGAAAGCAAACAGCATCACAAGAATTTTTTTTGAAATTTTCTTCTCTTGGGTACGGTACACATGGCATAATGTTTTGATGTATTTGGGGGAACACGTTCCACCGTTCCGTTCTGATTCGGTTTATTTTGTTTATATCATTTGTTATTGCTGGTGTTTTTGTGTCTAAGAATTTTTGAAAAATGATTTTGTCGAACGTTGTCATGTATCTAAATTTTGATTATAATTTGGCCCACAATTATTGTTTGCTGAATTGAAATTCATGCATCCTGCCATTTTTTGGTTTATGTAACAAAATTAGGATTTGAATGCACGACAGACCGACCGAACGACAGACATACAAAACTGACTATTGTTTGGCTAAAACGTTTTGTTGGTTTGTTTTCATAGCTTTCTTCTCTTTTTCGGTGGGCTTTGTGTGCGTGTGTGTGTCTGTGTTTCAGTTGAATTCCGTGACTGGGTTGATTCAAGGAAACTGCCGTAAAGATGAAAATGTCATTCTCAATTCCTGTCTGGAAGTATGCTCTGCTGACCTTGAGCACTTTATTGTCGGTAAGTAAAGCAACGACAATGGCAACAACAACAGCAATAACCTCAAACAAATCAAGTTTACTAACTAGGTCTCTGAGAGTGTTCCATAAAAATGTGGAGCATCAACAAAAAAATCAATGTCATCAGCAAATATTGTCATTTTGGTGTCGAAGTAAAGAAGACGGAGGCCAAACTAGTCGAACAATAACAATTGTAAAGTGACCCTGAATTTTAACATGCACGAGGATGTACAACACATTACATTATATACGTGTACACTAATACGGACATAAATACTCGTATATATTAGACGAGCACATGTCCTTATGTACTTGACTCTCACTCTTGTCCATGTGCGTTACCTGCAAAAAAGAAAGCGAAAACAGAACACAAACTAAAAATAAACCGAGAAGCAGGTCAATTTGGAATTCTTATTTAACGTTCCGGAGGTTGTTTATACGTTATTCATATAAGGTGCCAGATTTTATTATATGAAGTGTGTGCATGTCTGTCTGTGTAACGAATACGTCAACATTTGCAAACAAAACAACACGTTTCAAAATAAATAACTGGAAAAGGTAGCATTCCCTTGTTGTATAGTACAACAGTTGCTGTAGTTGAAAATTAATTGAGTTTTTTAAAAAGTTGTAAAATGAAATATAGTTATTTATTTAAAGCGATATTAGTGATATTCTATTTACTTGGACTTATTCAAAAAAATATTATTTTCGATTTTAATATAAATTAATCTTTAGCTTTCATCTTTAGAATTTTGATTGCTAGGCAATGTAATACACAAATTCTTAGTGTTTGTATTTTGTGAGCGAATAGTTCGCTACAAATGTGTATGGAGTTAATTTTGGAGATTCGTACTATAAGTGTACGAAAAGTACTAAACGTATATTAATGGCTATTGAGTGAAAGACTTAGCATGAATCATGAATCCATAGGGTTAAAATAGAGATACGGTATTGACAATGAATATTCTGTGGACAATACCTTACAAAAAAAATACCTTATAAAAATAAAAAAAACTAAGGAAATAATTAGAACCAGTGTTGAGATCCGAAATTACAGTCTTCAGACTAATGTCTAACTTTACAATTTGTATGGGAATTTCGAAAAATATCCCATAAAAATTTAAAATGTCGTTAATTTTATTATTTATTTCTCTTTCGAGATAAGTAAATCATCGAAGTTGCAATAACAAGGAAAGCCAGAGAGATACTACATTTTCACCATTATGAGTGAAGTTGCGCAATTGGTTAAGCGGTGTTTTGGGGATTTGGTACAGGTTTTTCAATCGAATTGACTGTAGTTTTGTATTTTGGGTTCTCATTACATAACACATCTCCGTACTAAAAATTATTTATAGTGACCCAAGTTTCAATGTAGCCCTCATATAAGGTACCCCCAATATTCGGTTTCAACCGAATTGACTGTAATTTGGTATTCTGAGTTCTATTGTATAACAGTTTGAGTGTAGCCCCTACGTCGACTTTAAGACTTTTCGATTTTTACCGCTGACCAAAAAGTCGATTTGCAGACTTTTCGATTTTTGCCTTTGACTAAAAAGTAGACTTTCGATCTTTCGATTTTGTTAAACCAGTTCAACATCGATTTTCGAATTTTACCGACTAATGCAAATTCGACTAAAAATTTATTTTTTTTAAGTAATTGTTATCAACAGATAAAATAACATTCTAGAATATGTAATTTTTGAGTAATTTGGGCTTTGAGATAATTAACCAAGTATTTATAAAGAAGATCGAAAGTCGACTTTGCGATTTCCACAAAAGATCAAAAGTCGACTTCGAATTTTAGACTTTTCAATACAAAAAGTCGATTAATCGATTAGTCGAAAGTCGATTTACTTATCCCTAGTAGCCCCCATAAAACAGTAGCTCTTCATGTCTGTATTAAAATGATTTCACTACCGGATATGATCAATATTGGTTTGGTTTTATTTGGATATTTAGCAATTTCGGAATATTGGATTTACTACGAATGCAACATTTTCTATATTAAGAATAATATTTAGGAAGTTGTTTTGAAACTGCTGGGAAAGCATCATATATTTTTTGTGGCTTATTTTGTGACAGTTTCATAGCAGTGATCTGCCAGAACTAAAATTATATTTCATGGTTTACCCTGCTATTGCTTCTTGCTGTCATTAGGCGAGACTAATTACCATACTTGTATCCATCCATCCTTATTTTTCATATAATGTAAATAAATTAGAAAATTATTAAATAATTAGATTTTTGTATGTTCAAACTTTCAAATTAAGTCAAATTCTATTATAAACGGTATTTCAAAATCCAAAAAAAAAAAAAAAAAAAAAAAAAAAAAATGAAAAGAAAAACGGGAGTTATCGTTCTGTGTTTCATTGTATACCAATGTGTTTTTATAGAAATCAATGTAATTTAATAATATTTTTTTCACAAAACAATATTTATTCTTCACATTATTTTACTATTTGGTTAAGGTGTTGCATCCTGATGTTCCATCTCACATCAATACTCGTACGTATGTTTGTGTACAAAATCAAACATAAAAATGTTCTGATTCGCTTTGTGGATTAAAATTTAATTTATCGTTTGTTTTTTTCATTTTAATTGTACAAATATTTAACTCGGCTATATTTTACATGGGCTCAGTATAGAAGTATAAATAGATCCAGAAATAAAGTAATATAAAATTCACATTCATTTGTACATTCATATTTGTGCATGAGCCTCGTCATGGCGATGGTAAACAAAACATGAATTTATTTTAACTGCACACATCAGAATTTATGATTTTGCAAGACGAGTAAAATATACTGTATATAATGATGACCTGTGTGAGCTCAAAGAAAATATTAAAATGGGTAATAACGACTGTAATTTTACATTGGGATTCTAGAACAGCTTCGAATATGAGCTAAAATTATTTCTTTCAAAAAGTTGTGTGTACTCTCTATAATTTGATGCTTTGTGGAGGAGACAGCGAAAGTAGTTTGGTAAATATATTACACAGAAAAAAAAGCCACCCCGAAATTTTTGATTAAAAGCTTCATCAGCGTTCAACAAAAAGATGTCGATAACATATTTCAAACGTAGTCGGAAATGTTTATCAAACACCAACAATTCACAAAAAAACCATCAACAAACGAGTTTGACCAAAAAAATTATTAAATTTGTTGGACAATTTTTAATAATTTTTTTTGTAATATGCCATATTATTTTTTATTACGTTATTACAAAGTACTTTGTTGAATAGATTGTAAAAGATGGATAACAAATAAAAGTTTTTATTCGGTATAGAGCTACACATTTAGTTTAAAGCCGTTAAAATACTGAAAATTTTGAGGTATTTTTGTGGGAGAGCTGTAATAATAAGGGTAAAAATCGGCAATTGCTGTTTAAAAGGTTTTGTATCGTACTACAAGAAATTTAATTTGAAATAATAATAATTTGATAAACAAGATTGTCAATATGAAAAATATTTTATCGATTAACAAAATAAAATTAAACAAAATTTTTAATATATATGAGAATTGCTTTATCAAAATATTCGAATGGGATTACAATTTTTTTTATCGGCGATTGTAAATATGAACATTATTTTTATCGTCGAAAAATCAATCAAATTTTAATTGGATTTTTGAATTTTTTTATCAAATGGTTACAATTTTTTTTCTGTGTATGAATTATTAGCCTATGTGAGCTATCGCTAAGAAACTCCAAAGTGTATGGACTTATGCGTTATTTCAGTATTTCGAATTTCATCGTAGGATTTAATTTTAATTATTACACATAATATAAATATATGTTTGTTTTTATACCCTCCACCATAATTTTGTCATTCCGTTTGTAACTCATCGAAATATTCATTTCCGACCCTCTAAAGTATATATATTCTTGATCAGGGTGAAATTCTAAGACGTCCGTCTGTCCGTCTGTTGCAATCACGCTATCTTCTAAAGAAATTGAGATAGGGTACTGAAATTTTGCATAGGGTTGTCTTTTGTCTGCAGGCAGGTCAAGTTCGAAGATGGGATATATCGGTCCACGTTTAGGCATAGCTCCCATATAAGGGTACCCGCCAAATTTTGGTATTTTAGGGTTCTTGAGGGCGTTTTTCAGCCGAATTCGCTGAAATTTGGTACATTGGATACTAAATGTCTCCACAAAAAATAATAAGTATAGGTCCATATTTTCTGGTAGCCCCCATATAACGGTACCTTCTAATATCCAGTATTTCGGGAGTTTTGGTCGAATTTTTCCACCGAATTTACTGTAATTTATTATTTTGAGTTCTTAATAGGTACCAAGTCTCTCTAATTTTTTCGGTTAGTCCCCATATAAGGGTACCCCCAATTTTCGTTATTTTGGGGTTATTGAGAGCGTTTTTCAGCCGAATTCGCTGAAATGTGCTACATTGAGTTCTTATTGAGTCCTAAATGTCTCCACAAAAAATTATAAATATAGGTCCACTTTTTCTGGTAGCTCCCATATAACGGTACCTCCCAATTTTCAGTATTTTGCGGGTTTTGATCGTATTTTTCCGCCGAATTAGCTGTTATTTGAGTTTGGTTCTAAGACTCTATTGTAATCATTTCACCTTTGGAGGATAGCGAGATAAAAAAAATTAGAACGTAAGGTTCGATAATGAACTATAGCCGCATTTAGACCTAGCCCCTGTGTGGAGGTTTCAGAAGGAGTGTATCGGTCCTCTTCCCCATCTTCGAATTTGAATTATCAATTAAAAATTTCTGAAATTTGTATTATGGTTTACATTATGGTTTACATAATCCGTGTTTAGACATGTATATATAGGTCCACATGTAGGTATAGGTCCACTTTTTGGTATGTTCCCCATATTTTCATTTCTAGTACCTGTCAGTATATCTATGGTGGAGGGTATCCAAAGTTCGGCCCGGCCGAACTTAACGCCTTTTCACTTGTTAATTTTAATAATTATAATAGCCACCTTTATGTAATGTATTCTCTAATTTTTGCAATATAAAGCAATTGCCCGACATTTGAACTAGTTTTATAAACGACGTTAATTTCGACTAAGTTCGAACAATTTTTTTTTATGAGGCGACAACCTGCAAACTATCTGTAATAATATGAACCCGATTATGACAATATTCTACGAAATGGTGGTGTAATTGGTGCAATGATATTCCGATTTTCGATTGAACTTTGAATGAAGTATTATTACATTGTGCAAAGTTTGAATTAAAGCGGTTATTCCCTTCACGCGATTCAGCCAGTCTGACAAAGATACGGATATTTATAAATCGACTCCAAGTTGTCTGAAACGGTCCAAAGTAATATATCAATTAAGCTGATTTTTCCCTTGGCAAAGTGTATAAACTGACAATTTGGAGTTCAGAATAACCCACATACCATAGTGAAATTCGATAATATGGGGACAGTCCTTAACACGCGAAACAAATGATTTAACTAGTAAAGTCGGACGGGGACGACTATATGATACCCTTTACCACTTTGGGTATATTCAAGAAATGTATCTTAACAGACCTCGCAACGCATTTTTTTAGGACCATTGTGTCTATATGTAAACCGAAATTTGCTGAAATTTGGTACAATGGTCTCTTATTGGGTATCAAATGTCTAGAAATTATAATTATCTCCACTTTTTGGTGTCAATCGAACAAACATGAATGTTTGGTGCACCATTCACATAAAATCGGACGAATATATATATATATATATATATACATATATATATAAAAATCTGAATCAATGTCGTCCAAACTTACCAGGCGTTATTGCAGACCCATTTCGATACGTTGCGGATAATGTTGTGTTACTTAATGTTACTTAAAATTGGTTGAAAAAAATAATAGGTGCTATATTAAAATTTACACCAATTTCAACAAAACTTGGCACATGTTAGGCTATTCTAACTTCAAAGTGTTGTGCAAAATTTCGTACCAATCGGCCTATATTTGACTTTTTGGTGGACCATTTGATAAAAATCGGACGAAAATATATATGGGAGCTATATCTAAATCTGAACCGATTTTCTACAATTTCAATAGGGTTAGTCCTTGAGGCAAATAAATGATCTGTGCCAAATTTTAAATGCGACCTGCACTTTGTTTACAATTTAGCTTGGACAAACACACAGACGGACAGACATGCATAAATCGACTCAGAAAGTGATTCTATGCATATTCTTAAAAGGAACCATAGGTCTATCTTGTTTCCTTTTACCTGTTACAAACATATGCACAGAGACTAAAGGGTATAAAAATGGGGAAAAATAAAAAAAATAATAATTTATCATTTTTAAATAATTACAGGTTATTCGGTTTGAAAAACGGTTTGAAAGGGTACCGGTATATGGGGGCTGCCAAAAGTATTGGACCAATATTGATAATTTTTAACGGAAAGATTTAGCCAATCTTATCGAAAAACTTGTTCAAAATCCTCAACATCTGGAGATTTGAGTGCTACCTCAAAAAAATGGACGAATATTGATTTTTAACTGCATTCATTTGAAATTAACTGTAATTCATTTGGAAACCCGTTATATGCGGACTATTCCTAAACATGGTCCGATATAGCTCATTATCGATCTTGACCTGCCTGCAGACAAAATACAACACTATCAATTCATTTACAGGACAGGACAGACAGATGGACATATGTAAATCGTCATTTTACGCTTATCAAGAAGGGTCGGAAATTATTGTTTCGATGAGTTACCCTCCTCGATTAACATACCCTCCATTCTGTGGTGGAGGTTATAAAAACGTATGAGTATTGTAAATGTCCTATAAATATTAATTATACGACATTCTCGTTCATTATTTGATAGAGTAGAGAGTATTTGTTTTTCAAAAAATTCTATGTTTATACCCTACACAACTATGTTGTCAGGGTATTATAGCTTTGTGCAGCCCCAAAAGTTTGTAATATTGGTCCTAGACCCACTTTTAAGTATACCGATCGTCATATCTCGACTAGCTAACTCGATCTAGACATGTGTGTCCGTCCGTCTGTCCATTATAATTTGTAAACACGATACAGGCCACAGTTATGAACCATGTGGGATTTACACTTAAATATTTACAGGTACTTACGTATTCATACAGTATTTAGTAACCCATTACCACACTAGAGGGCGGAAATATATAGCTGCTCGCTCGCTTTTCGATGATGATCTAGGTATGGTCGAGGACAGCGCCTATAATTTTCGTTGATGATCAGATAATAATATTGGGATAAAGTGGACCGAAAACTTATTTTTGGTGTTTTTCGAGTCGATCTCTAGGCCGAACATCACAATTGAAAGCCGAACATCACAACACAACCCACCGTGAAGGCAATCTAGACAAGTAATTAGAAGGGCTGTACTGAATATTAGTCATATTCGGAAAAATGTCTGTGTAAGGAAGAGGTACTGTTGACCTCTATTCGGGCAAGAGGGTGCAAATATCACGAAATATTGCCCAGGCTCGGAAAAAACATCAGCAGATAGAGTTCCGTGGTAGTTGTGTATGGTATCATATGGTCGGCCCCGTCCGACTATACTGCTCCGCTCACTGGTTTTAATTATATTAACGCTTAGCAGGTGAATTTTCTTCCATTTCCGATAATTTACGTGATATATTCTTAATCAAAAAGTTTCAGAATTATTGGAAGTATATATATATATATATATATATATATGCATAATAAAAAAAGGAGTTTGCTATTTCTATCTTAAAATAAAAAAATCATACATGAAGATTGAAGATATTCTCATACTTTTTTTCTCCATTTTTGCAATTGTTACGTGCACAACTCTTTTATATTAGTTTGGTAAAAACCCGATAATGCTGGTAACATATATTCATAGTGATTTTCTTTTTCTTATTGATTGAATTGAATTGACATGCAGATAAAAGTTCTGATATCTGGGATAGTTCCAAGACTTTACTTACATATAGAAATCTATTATGCATCTAGCTTAATAGATATCTATGTACATAGATATATTTATATACGTAATATGAATTTGTATACGCGTTTGAGATGTCTTTGTGCCAAATATTATTTTATAGATATGCCACAAAATTTAAATTGCATTTTTCAATCTCTGCTCTCTTTGAGATTTTTGGCTAATTAATGAATAAATTTACTACAAGCATTTCATTTTCATTTTCTTTTTCCACACTCGTTACAGATGCTGTGCGTGGTGCTGATATCGGTTGGTGTCATTACTCTCGGCGGTGCTGGCTCGCCATTGGGAGCCTACACCGCCAGTCTGCTGGGTTGTCTGGTGTTTGCTCTCTGTACCATGGGCTGCTTTGCGGCACTGCGAGAATCACATTTGTTGTCAATGGTGGTAAGTATTTGGCAGGCTATTTATAATGCATTTCTCGCTACAAATGACGAACTCGGTATTGCATTGAGGAAGAATGACAGAAATATTATTACAAATTAGGGTATTTAACAGAGTTCATTGATTTCTTAAAAACTAATTGGAACATAATATGTAAGTGATTTGTAATATATAGTGATTGGAAATTCTTACTAACCTCTACTAAATTTGGATTTAGGATCATTGGTGGGGTGTATGATTGAACTATGTAGAAAGTTTTGGAAATACCTACTAATGTGTACTAAATGGTACTAAATTTGGATTTGGGTGAACCGATGGATTGGGTTTTGAAAATTCGTACTAATATATTTGGTACAATTTAAATTTTGGGTGAACCACCAATAGAGCTGGAATCCTGAAATTTGGTCTTAGTGTCACAGTTGGGAGTAGGATTGGGCTATGTAAAACGTTGTGGAAACCTTACTAGTGTGTACAAAATGGTACCAAATTTGGATTTAGATGAACCGATAGAAATGGAATATTGAAATTTGCAGTAAAGATCACTGTAGGGATGTTGGATTGGGGTATGTGCACTAAATTACACTAAATTTGGTACAATTTGGATTTAAAATGAACCGAAAGAGGTTAAATCCTTAAATTGGGTAATCAAATTTCCATTAAATAGCATGATGTAGGTAGTAATGGGCATTTTTAGGTATGTGTACTAAAGGGTACTAAATTTGATATTATTAGATGAACCGATAGAGCTGAAATACTGAGATTTGGAATTAAGATTGGAGTGTTTTGGAAATTCGTACTTATGATTGTTAAAGTAGGTAATTATGGGAGTTTATATTAATGTGTACTAACTGGTTAAAAATTTAATTTGGGTGAACCTACATTTGAAATTTCGAAATAAGTATTACAAGAGTACAAGGGGTAATAAATGATATCAAATTTAGTATAGAGCTAGATTTCTGATGCGGTCAGAATTGTTGTGTAGAGTTGAGCTATGGAGGTTCTTTTGAAAAAACGTACTATAAAAGAACATACTAAAATTTTAATTATGGTCGGTATTGGGTTTTAAATAATTCCCACATTAGCTAACGATGTAGCACGAATATACGAGTAGGAAAATGAAATTAATCGGGAAGAAATTGAAATTTGGCTAAAACTAAATGATTAAAAATTATTTGTCTACAATGGTTATATTCCACAATTTAAATAAGTGTGAATATCAAAATCTTATCATTTGTAATAGTAATATTCATATTATGAGTATTTTAAATTCATTTGCATTCAATTAGAATATTTGTTTTATAATTCAAATTTGGATATCATATTTATGCATCTACTTTTACAGTTTGTGGGTCTTGGCGTTTTCACAATAGTCTGTGAGACAATATTTATGATTGCCTTTGCTGTAATGAAGGATGATTTCATGGAAATGACAAAACAACGCGTCGAAGATACCTGGCAGCAGGAGTTAGTGAAACCTGGCTCTATGTTGGATGTGCAAATACAAGTAAGTGCAATGACACACACAAAACTAAATACAAATCTTAAGTGGAGAATTATTAAATCCATTATTTATTGGCAACAAATTGAGCTACATCTTCTCTTATGAAATATAATTAATCGGTAATGTTTATAAATGTTTTAAATCATTTTGCTTTATTTTATTTACAGTACGAATGCTGTGGCCTAAAAGGTCAACAGGACTACTTAGATAAGGGTGATAAACTGCCTTCCAGTTGCTGTTATTTGGGCGACTGTTCCGATAGTGATAATATATTTCCTAAAGGCTGTGAAGTGATGTCAATCAAATTCATCGACTCTCAGAGTGACAATTTAATATTATCTTTGGTTGGCCTAGTGGCTTTCGAGGTAAGCGTGTTGACTTCTCAATCTGAATCTCAATTTTATATGAATTATTTGTTTTCTCTTTTCAAGGCCCTTGGCATTATATCGGCTTACTATTTGGGAAAAGCTGTACAGACACGCGGTGTTAAATCGGAGCAGGCTGTTATGGAATAAACTTTGTTATCGCGATCGATGCAAATCTTGTTGAAACTTAAAATTGTTATCATAATTTTTACGTTAAGAAGAGTAAATTGTCTCATTGTAAGAGACCTGTAGTTTCCAAGGTTTATAGATTCAATTCTTAATTATGTTTCAAAGTTTATAAAATACAATTTTTTAATACTACTATTACATTGTGATGATTTTTTGTTCAATTCAGTATGGATGATAGTATTCGAATTAAACAACGACTTGAAATTAAATTATTGACTGTTGTTTTTGACAAGTTCGTTAGTTATATTTGATTGTAATTCATATTGATTATATATATTATTAGATGGGCAACTGTTCATAATATTATTATCCACTAAGGTAAAGACCAAAGTGGGAAGAGGCAGACTATTCTATATCCTACACAATGTATAAGCCACTCATATTGTAATCTATATATGTATATAAAAGGATATATGTATCTTCGATATATCTATATGTAAAAGGGAAATTGGTAATCACACCGTTATAACCCATGAACGGCGGTGATACGTGCCAATTTAGAATGTTATTTGGTCTGAGTAGGAAAATATCTAAAAACTCGGGATTTACTTAAGTATATGAAAAAGTTAAAAGTTTTGGGTTAATTGATCTGTCGTTGCAAACTTTACATAATATTGACCTCCAAACTTTATTTGGGTGGAAGCTGTATCTACTTTAACCTCCAAACTTTATTTGGGTGGAAGCTGTATCTGCTTTAATGTATAAAATGTGTAAATACAGGTTGAGGCGAACCAGATTCTTTATGTTCTCGTGAAATACTTCAGTACTTCCGGGAAACCGCATGGCCATCAAATGATTTTGAGGATTACGCGATTACGAATTACACAAAAGACGTGATTATTTTTATATATGCCAATTTTTCGGTGAAATTGGGGTAAAATAGACGAATAATCCGAACATTTGTTTCTGAAATTTCTTGTAAAAACTAAAAAACTAATATGATGACATTATTTCTTCGAACCAAAAACAAATATTTTTTCTCAATATCTTGTTTTGTTGTCGCCGTGAATTACAAACAGTAAAAAAGACTTGTGATTTTGATATAATTTGATTCATCATAATGTTTAGATTATGTAGATATTTTTAAATTAATTTTTAGATTGATACATGTCATTAATATAATGAAAATATTGACGTTATCTCCTATATTTTTACTACTTTTCTCATATTTCGCGAAAATATGCAACATTTTTGCAATTTTTGTAATATATTCATATTCATATTTTACGAAGGAAGTCATATATAAACGTTAACCAGTGAGCGGAGCAGTATAGTCGGACGGGGCCGACCATACGATACCCTACACAACTACCACGAACTCTAACTTTCTGAGGATGTTTATTCCGAGTCTGAGTAATATTTCGTGATATTTGCCCCCTCTTGTCCGATTAGAGGTTAACAACACCTCTTTCTTACTCTTTTCGAATATTCAGTACATCCCATCATCATCATCATCCCAACATTTTAATCTGATCATCACCGAAAATTGTAGGCGTTGTTCTTGACTATAACTGGAACTTCATGAAAAATTTCAAAGCCATCAGCGCGATATTTCTCCCTCTAATGTGGTAATGGGTTACTAAATAATATCTGAATACGTAAGCACCAGTAGATATTTGGCTGCAACTCCCACATCTGAGTAGATACATCACTATATTTGGTATCAATTTAAAGGCCAACCACTCCTCTTGGATATGCTATCAACTCCTGGGGTCTACATCCTCCAGGAGTAAATATATATGCCATAGAATACAAATTTTGTAATTTTTCACACAAAAGTCAGGGTCCATTTGACCCGCTAAATATTGACCGATCTTTATCAAAACATGCATGCTTATTCTGTGGCCCGATCCCCTTCTCCGTGCAAAAATTCGCGGTGTTTGGGCCATAATTGCGGCCATTGGAGCGACCAGAAAAACCGACAAAAATTTAGTATTTGGTCCATTTCATCCCCTAAATATTATCCGATCTTTTCCAAATATATTATCTACATGCAAAATTTCGTGAAGATTTCCACTGTGGCCTGTATCGTGTTTACATTATAATGGACAGACGGACGGACACACATGTCTATATCGACTCAGCTAGTCGAGATATGACGATCGGTATACTTAAAGGTGGGTCTAGGACCAATATTTCGCGGCGTTACAAACATTTGGGGCTGCACAAAGCTATAATACCCTGACAACATAGTTGTGTAGGGTATAATAATACAATAAAAGGCGTAATTTTAAGATTTTTTCTAATGCCCAAAATTAAAACCTCGATAACTTTTGAGCGCATCAACCAAAAATTTGATCGCGAACGAATTTGGTGTCAAGACATTTTTCTCTATATATGTACCAAAAATCATTGATCAAATCAATACACTATATATATGTATATATATATATATATATATATTTACACTGGCGGTCAGAACTAAATCAAATAAAATTGCAAGTTTAATAAATCTGGTACTTCATTCACTTAAAAAAAAACCAGTAAGGAAAGTAGTAAAGTCGGACGGGGCCGACTATATGATACCCTTCACCACTATGGGTATATTAAACAGGACTATTAACATGAAATTGGATGAAATAAGATATGTGATATTTATCTAAATATGAATATACCTAGATCTATCCATAAAGTATGTAAATCGACTTCAAACAAATATAAATAGGTCATCCGTTGGGCTATGTCTGTACTTCTAGAAAACGCAACTACGTAATTTTATGCTCAATTTTGTACGTTGTGCAAACTTTGATGTCAATCTGACTAACATGAGGAGTTTGATGCCCAATTTACGGGCGAAAATATATATGGAAGCTCTATCCAAATATTAAGCGATTTCAAACAAACTTGTCACAGGTTAGATTATACTAATTTCAGAACGTTTTGTTCCTATCAGCCTATTGGATCCTTGGTGCGTCAATTACTTATAATCAATCTATAATAAAAGGGAGCTATATCTAAATCTGGACCGATTTTCAGTACGTTATGCCAAATTTCGTGCAAATCGAAAGATATATAGAGACTTTGGTGAACCATTTACATGAAATCGGACGAAACTATATATGGGAGCTATATAGAAATCTGGACCGGTTTTCTCGAAACTTGGCAGACATCATTCTAGACTCAATTCAGTACGTTATGCCAAATTTCGTGCAAATCGAAGGATATATAGCGACTTTGATGTACCATTTACATGAAATCGGACGAAACTATATATGGGAGCTATATAGAAATCTGGACCGGTTTTCTCGAAACTTGGCAGACATCATTCTAGACTCAATTCAGTACGTTATGCCAAATTTCGTTCAAATAGAAGGATATTTAGCGACTTTATTGCACCATTGACATTAACTTGGACGAAACTATAAATGGGAGCTATATCTAAATCTGGACCGATTTTCACGAAAAAAGCCAGACATCACTCTAGGCTCAATTCAGTACGTTATGCCAAATTTCGTGCAAATCGAAAAATATATAGCGACTTTGGTGCATCATTTACATGAAATCGGACGAAACTATATATGGAAGCTATATCGAAATCTGGACCGATTTTCTCGAAACTTGGCAGACATCATTCTAGACTCAATTCAGTACGTTATGCCAAATTTCGTGCAAATCGAAGGATATATAGCGACTTTGATGTACCATTTACATGAAATCGGACGAAACTATATATGGGAGCTATATCTAAATCTGAACTGATTTTCAAGAAATTTTACACACATCATTCTAGACCCAGTTTAGTACGCTGTGCCGAATTCCGGCAAATGGAAGGATATTTAGGGAATTTGGTATACCATTTACATTAAATCGGGCGAACATATATATGGGAGCTATATCTAAATCTGAACCGATTTTCAGGAGACTTAACACACATCATTCTAGACTTCATTCAGTGCACTATGCCAAATTTCGTGCAAATCGAAAGATATGTAGGGACTTTAGTGCACCATTTACCTTAAATCGGACGAAAATATATATGGGAGCTATATCTAAATCTGAACCGATTTTCGAGAAACTTAACACACATCATTCTAGACCTAATTCAGTACGCTGTGCAAAATTTCGTTCAAATCGAAAGATATATAGGGACTTCGGTGCACCATTTACATTAAATCGGACGAAACTATATGTGGGAGCTATATCTAAATCTGAACCGATTTTCACGAAACTTTGCAGACGTCATTCAAGGCTTAATTCCGTACGTTATGCCAAATTTCGTGCAAATCGAAAGATATATAGGGACTTTGGGGCACCATTTACATGAAATCGGACGAAATTATATATGGGAGCTATATCTAAATCTGGACCGATTTTCTCGAAACTTGGCAGACATCACTCTAGGCTTAATTCAGTACGTTATGTCAAATTTCGTGCAAATCGAAGGATATATAGGGACTTTGGGGCACCATTTACATGAAATCGGACGAAACTATATATGGGAGCTATATCTAAATCTGGACCGATTTTCACGAAACTTGGCAGACATCATTCTAGACCTAAATGATTAGGCTGTACCAAATTTCGTGCAAATCGAAAGATATATAGGGACCGTTCACATTAAATCGGTTAAATATATATATGGGAGCTATATCTAAATCTGAACCGATTTTTCCCAATTTCAATAGGGTTCGTCCTTGGGCCGAATAAGTGACCTATGCCAAATTTCATCCAATTCGGATCATAAATGCGACCTGTACTTTGTTTACAATTTTACATGGACAGACGGACGGACGGACGGACGGACGGACGGACGGACGGACGGACGGACGGACAGACGGACATGCATAAATCGACTCAGAAAGTGATTCTATGCATATTCTCAAAAGGAACCATGGGTCTAACTCGATTATTTTTGCCTGTTACAAACATATGCACAAAGACATAATACCCTGTACCACAGTGTGGTGAAGGGTATAAACACAAGCATTGACTCAAAATCTATATATGTATATAAACAATTTTATTTTAATTTTAAATGGATTTTATTACAATAATTTACTGCCAAACAAAATATAAAAATGGATAGAAACAAAGACAGTACTCCGATAAAATAACTAATTACCAGTGATTGTGAAAATTATTTACCACAGAAAATGATTTCGGAGAAATATTCCATGAATAAATCAGTGATTTCTCCA